CTTGGTAGGTGAATATTGGTATCCGTGGTGTTGTTTCCCTGGTGGCGCTAACAAAATTAAGCACCTTTCCACATGTTTATTGGGCATTGGATGCAATGCAGTCTTAAGGTATACAAGCAGTGTTCACATCTGACCATTGGGTTTAGTTCTGCCCATTTTATTGGAAGTTCATTGACTATCAAATGTGANTTGTTTTGCAACTTGCTTTTTCTACACTACATCTTGGAGATCTTTCCATGGCAGTAAAAATAGAACTATTCATTCTGTAGAAACATACATGGGTTTATATTATTAATGTTTTCTTCTGGTTCAGTTGTTAGTTCAGCTTCTGATAGAATCAATTAAAGTTAAAATCCAACATTTTCTCTTTTTCCCTTCCCACTCTAACTGCTCCCTAATGGAGTGGAGTTTGTATTGGGTTGAGGAAAATGGAAGAGTAAGAGTCCACTGACTTTAGTATAAATTCTAAACGATAGAATTTCAAGTATATGTATATACATTCAGTTCCTTATCTTTAATATTTGAAGTGTGCTAATTATATGTAATTTATAATTAGCACATTTTGGAACAGAAAGTGGTTTTCTAAGTATTGGAAAATAGCTTGTAATTTCTTGGCTTTTATAACCTTTACACCATTAGTTTATCCAACTCTTCTATACTACATTGCTAATCTTGGGCTAGCATTCAGGAAACAGCAAAATCCACATTAGTAGTGCCTGAATTAATGAGATTAAAAGAAAATGATATTCTGAAGCACTCTTATAAAGGCTTCCTTTTAGAAAGCCAAAAATCCAAGGGCTTTAGAAAGTAATTTCCTTATTTTGAGACTTTAACATTTAAACATTTTGATTGCTTATCTACAGTATTGTAGGTTAATTATTTTTCTAATTTATTTCCGTTGTTTATATTTCTCATGATGAATTACTGCTAAATAACAGCAAAATTGAATAGAACAAATTGATAGATTTTTCTTGTGACATTTACATTTCAAATTATTTTACCATAGAATGTGCCTTTCCAATAGTATTGTTCAAGCTTTGTAGTTGATATTATTTAAATTTGGTTGATTATCTCTTTTTCTCCCATAAAAGAAAGTTACAGTTCACAGAATATCCTTTTATATTGTGGGAATGAAGATAAACAATTTGTCACATGTTATTTAGGAGAAAAAGTATATGTTTATATACAGTCCCCAAATTCACCAGACTGACCTGAACCGGTAGAGTTGTTTGGGTATGGCATGGATTCAGAGAGTAGGCCCAACAGGGATTATCATCTTTATGAGCCTGATGTAAATTTCAGTGTAAGATTTAAATTTTTAAATATTAATTGTCAAGTCCAGAGTTAAAGACACATACAGGTTTAAAGGTTTCAGAGTTTCTCAAAATACTGCTATAGGGTAGTGCTTTTGGAATTAGGTGGTTATTATAATAACTTACTAGCCACACATATTTTAGTGTATATATAGTTTTGTAAAGAAGACAGTGCTTATAAAAAATTCATTTCTGTACGTTTCCTCATTGTATTCATATTTCTCTCATTTTAGAAAGACTTGCCTACAATTTGAATTGATACTTTCTAACCCCTGTAAATTACAAGATGATAATTGACAAAAGTAATTTTAAGTAACTGTTTGAGGGAGTTGTTTGCTACAATGTGTAAATATGTAGTATAAAATATTTAAATTATGGTTAGGCAGTGCCTTGGTCAGTTTGGGCTACTATAACAAAATGCCATAAATTGGGTGGCTTATAGACAAGAAGTGTATTTTCTAACAAATTTGGAGGCTGGAAGACAGATCAGGGTGACCACATGGTCAGAGTATGTGTTGTGAGGCCTGCTTCCTGCTGTAGAGCCAGCCCTCTTTTCACTGTAACCTCATATGGCATAAGGGGCTAGCTGATTCTCTGGAGTCTCTTATAAAAGCCCTATTCCAATTCCAGTCACCTCCCAAAGATCCCATCTCCTGATCCCATCACCTTGGAGGTCAGGATTTCAACAGAGGAATTCGGTGGGGAGGACATAAAACATAGCCGGCAGCCAGTGACAGCAGGAGTCTGAAAACTTTTTGTAAGGGGATTAGGAAGTCAATGTCTGCATTAATTAAAGTCAATATGTATTGAAATGGATAATTTTGCACTTAGATTATTCTTTTGGGCACATCTTGAGTACATCTACATTAAGATTCACCAAGTTCTTCATAATGTGTTGCCAAATTACAATATATTAAATGAAGGTGGGTAAATTCTGACTTTTGCCTCCTTGTCAGCTGCTGGGGAAAAGCTGGTGGGAATTTGTATTTTGTCTCTTTAGTCTTGAAATTTCAGTGAAAATTGAAAGATCTCTGATTTTAGTTGTGAAAATGTGAAATATGAAAAACGTATGAAATAGAATATGCTGATAATTCTTGAAGATAAGATCACCAAAGGCATATTATCAATCACCGCAACTGCTAACAGCAGGATAGGATCGCTCTACTGTGGATTTCATCCCTCCCTGGCATAGGATGAATGTGCATAGTTAGGAGGGGTAGGAGCTTCTGGTAGCACAGAACTTACATTACAGGTCAGTGTTTTTCACATGTGTTGACCACAATCCGTACATACAAAAATACATACACATGGCAACTTGTGATCCACACACACAACTAAAATACAAGACACTCCAAATAGGATTTAGCCTTACTAGATGGGGTGCATTCTAATTTCTGTTCTGTATCTTGTTAAAAATGTTGGTGTTGACCCTATAGAATATCCATTAATGGGTCTTGGCTTGAGGTTTGCAAGGCTGTACTAGATGGTGTATATTTACCATAATTGTAATAGAAAGTTATTAACTTCAAGGTTAGGGTGGCTGGGCTTCCCAAGTACTTACTGCAGATTAAAAAACTTTTTTTNGTCAATGATAACTCAATATTTTCTATGTCTTTATTGAGACCAACCAATTTTTTCAGCCAAAGAAAGCTGTTATTCATGACATTATTTTGTAATTTAGAAAGGTTCTATGGTTCACACAAAGCCAGAGCCTTCATCTGAGCACTGAGAAATAATATTAACTACTGAGTAAACAGTTTTAAAAATTTTCTAATGCTTATAGAATACTTTCTAATGAAACCAGTAACCTCAATCTAAACATCATTTCCAATACTACATAATTATAATATATTTTAGTCCCACTTTATTATATATAATTGAGAAAATCACTTAGGCTATCATAAATAGTATATGTTATCTTAATAAAAGGGATTCTATGAAAGAGTTATGCATCTAGATAATACACAGATTGAAAACCTAGGCAACATACAGCTTAACACTTTTAACTTAAACCCCCAGACTTTTCCAGAAGTGTTAAATTTCTGCTTCAGGTACATTCCATCTTAGTATTATATGTGAATCTTTAAAATAAATAAATACATAAAGCATTACCGCTGGGCGGCTGCTGAGGCCGATTGTCTTAATACTTCCGGCAGGCTTACCTCCAAATACGGAAGAGCTGAGAGGCTCCTGCTGCCCCGACGAAGAAATTAACAGCAAACAGACTCCAGTTTTTTGGAATAATGACAAGTGAGTATCTTGACCAAATAAGCCCTGTTGAAACAAAATATTATTTATTTTGAAGCATGGTACTGCTGCAATATCTTATCTAAACATTTAATATTAGAGTAAAAAAATTAGGAATAAGACTGTGACAACACAATGTAGAATAAAGGACAGAGAAAAACTATATTCTGTGAGTCTTTAATAAAGTTGTTATAATTTAGTTACACAAAATACTCCTTTTTTTATCAAAGGGAAATCTTTATAGAGCAAAGGAATATTAATTGGAACTTTTTCCCCTTACTTATAAAAATATGCTCGTNCTATTAACATCTTTTTAAAACTGAAAATCAGATTTGAAAAGTTAAAGTATTATACAACCTAGATGAAAATACAATACTTGACTGAATTTCTGTAAATTGTTTTTATTCCAATAAGTTTCGGAACCATAGAACATTCCCCCCACGCAAAAATAAAATTATTTTTTAACCCATATGTTCATCCTCTACCTAGCTGTCTTGCCAGTTACAAGCAAGGAGAAGGAAAACAATTTGGCTTCAAGAAGATCTTGATCTTTATTTTCAATGGCAAGAAAACGTAACAGAAATCTGCCCCTGTGACAATATACAGAGAACATAGTCTACTTTTATTTGAGATCACATCAGCCTGATTACTTAGCTAATTATCGCTCTGTCATATACTCAGCTTCCTTTCATTACAGCTTCTGAATAAACATGAAGCTTTTTGGTCAATCTTTGGTAAAGATCATTCATTTCTTAAAGGGAAACATTTCCCTTTTTCAAAGAAGGAAATATTTTTGTAATACTTGAACTATTCTTCTGTTGATGGACATTTAGATTGATTTGTTTTCTGCTACATTTCTTCATTGTAAAATGAGCTTTGAAATACTTCATCATTTCTGAAATTGAGATGTGTTTAAATATAGGTGGCATCTAACAGATGCTATTTTCCATCCCATTTAAAATTGAAAACCCTCTTCTCCACCTCCAGTCCTCTCCTACCCCTTTCTCTGCTTTATTTGTCCATGTAGCGCATTCTCCAGGCACCATAGCGTGTATTGTCTTTCCTTCCTCACTAGCTGAGAGGAATCTTCTGTTTCACGTCTCCACTCCATTCCTAGCTCCTTTGAATACCACTTGGAATGGAGTGACTGAACACTCAATGTATTTGTTGGATGAATGGATGAATGGATGAATGAAGGGAACATTTGAGTGTTTACTTGAATTGCTTAATCCTTACAATAACCAAGTATATAAATACTCCGATGAGGAAACTAGGGCCAAGGAGGAGGTTCATTTGCCCAATAGCACTCAGCTTATAAATGGAGTTGAAATTAGAGCTTGAATCTACCTCATCCCGGATCCCAGGCTGTTAACTTCAATGTTATACTTTTCTCAGCAATAAATTGTAGGATTTATTTAGTTCTTATTTTTTTTTAAACAGGAAGAAGAGAATTTATCCAAAGATTAAAACTTGAAGCAGCCCTGAATGTGCATGACGGCTGTGTAAGTAATAGTTCATTTTCATCATTTTCAACCATGGACTTTAAAACTACGTATTCAAATGTTTGATGACATGCCCCAATCTTTTTTTAAGGGATTGTGACTAACTGTAACTGGGAGAATAAAGTTTTACATTAAAACATTAATTTTGAATTTAGAAAAGTATGTGGGAAAGGCCGGCCGAGTGGCTCAGTTGGTTAAGAGCTCGCTCAAGAGTGCGAGCTCTGAGCTACAGGTTCGCCGGTTTGATTCCTGGCCCAAGCTGAGCTGCAGCTGAGCTGCCAACAGGTGGCCGGATGGCTCAGCTTCAAAAAAAAAAAAGAAAGAAAGAAAAGTATATGGGACATTTTTGGAAGTATANCGTAGGAATGGGAGCTCTGGAGAGGCCTCCACAGATGTGCCGAGGCCACAGAACGGAGATGGGATTGAGCAGGTGTCGCTCCATTCTCCCGTCCTGCCTGTTCACGGCTTTCTCAACTCTGTTTTCTTTGGCTACCATGTGTTAAAATGGCCAGATTTAGCAAATAAAAATACAGGACATCTATATTTGAATTTGAAATAAACACTATTTTTTTTAGTATAAATGTATCCCAAATATTGCATTTTTACCTAGCAACCCTACCACCAGCCCCTTCGATCTTGGCAATAGCACACCCGTCTCACATGCACAGGACAGACCATCTCGCTTTAGTTTTAACACTGTGCGGAAAGTGGGTTAGATTTTTCTCCAAAAGGATCAACTAGGATCAAAGGCTGGCAATTACTGGGAGGCAAATTTCAACAATGTCAGGAAGCATGCTCAAATTGGGCGGTCTTAGGAAGTGCTGGGTTTCCTTACTAGTGGCTATGTCATCTGCCTGCCAAGTTGTAGAGGCGATTTAGTGGAAAGATGAACTGAATGATTGCTAGCCCATTCCATGGGTTAAATAAGGTGATCTGAGGACTTGGACAGGTTTTTCTAAGTTTATGATTGCGAGGCAAGGAAAGTAGATGCATTTGAAGACAACGGTGACAAATGTAGAAGGCAGTTAGAATAACAAAATTATTTGTTATTGGTGGAAGAGGCAAAGACATCTAGAAGTTTCCTATTTTAGAAGACACTCTTCTCCTGTAACTACCATCACATCAGAAAATGATTGGCGATGTGACACATACCACATTGTAATGGTCATTTATTAAGACCTTTCTATGTGGAGCATTTTACACAGGTTGCCTCATTTAAGCCTGAAAACAGCACCGTGTACAGGTGGGCCTGACCAGGATAAGGGTATCTTTCTATTTCATAGATACAGAAACTGAAGCTCAGATTAATTTGCTTTAGGTCACATAACCTGGTCTGTGGGGTTTGAAAGTCCATGTTTTCTACTATACCATGCTACATCCCAGCTGTTACATGACACTTTGGGATATTTATGACCTAGAGAAAATACGTATTTTAGAGCACTTTAATGGCGCCATCATCAATTATTTGGCCAACTCCATTACAGTCAAGGACAGAGCACGAACAGAGAGGGCACTGAAATAGCATGAAAGCATCTATGAATGAGTATATCTGAAAGAGGGAAAAACAAGCAGGTGAATGAGGCCCCACTAGTTTCCTGGGTGAAGGAATGCATATGTATAGTTTCACTCTGCTTAAAGGAAACTCAGCAGTACCCAAAAATGAAATGAAAGATCAATTATTGTTTCTCTAAATATCTTTCAGAAGCTCCTAATAGATTTCCGTTTTCATTCAATTTTTCATCAATATATAAAATAAGGTTTTATAGGAGCCCCAGAATGGAGACACTCTGAACTTAAAAGGGATAATGTTATGTCAGGAAGCCTTGCCAGGACCACTCAAGCCAAGGCGATTTTCCCTCTGAGCTATCAGGGCACTTAAGGTCTATAAACTATGTGCCT